CCAGCTGCACTGCCTCAGCGTGGCATCTATGAAGAGGGCTTCTTACTTTTGGTTGGGAAGGTTGAGAACAGTTTAAACACTGTGTGCAGGTGCCTCAACACTTGCTTGGCCCAACAGTCCAGCAGGCTCAGTTCAAAGGATCTAAGCTCTAGCTCTCCTTTGGGACATTTATTCAGTGACTTATATAGTGCATTACTCATTCTGACATTAATTTACTGTTCATATTATGCCTCTAATAGGAGCTATCTAATTGGTCATTACTTTATCCATATGCCAAATGTTCATTTTACAATGAGTGGTAGAAATATATATTCTGTGCAGGCCATGTATCTTTTAAATGCTATTTTTGAACATTTCCCATTTGTGTCTTCCTCCCTAGAATGCCACAAGTGTGTTCACTGGGTCTTTTATGGGCTAAACGGACCAGACTATCAGTATAACATCACTTTCCTATCGGCCACACCTTCATGCTCATTGTTTGAGCAGAACACTTTAGATCTTCAGAGAACTGTTTTAGCATGTAGTGAATATATTTTTTTTTTTTGAAAACTGACCTCCTTTAGCTGATTGGTTTCCATCAAAATACTGTGGAATACTGTGTTTTAGACAATTTTCTGACTACATTTGATACTGTTGGTCACTTCTTGATTGCTTCACTCAAAGATCATTATTGTTGGCTTCCATGATTCTGTTCTAGTGATTCTACTCCTGCCTTTCTGGCTATTTGTTGCATTGGTAGCTTTTATGGGGACTTTTCCTCGTTTCTTCCTCATTAGAATTTACTGTGATTTCTGTTTATGCTCAATCAACCTCTTTTCTATAAATCTAGCACTGTCCTTGAACAATCTCCACACACTTATATGGACATGAACTGTCTGCCTTGAGGCAGAAGTTAATTACTGCACCGTGTGTTGTACAAGTTAGCAGTGTGTAAGTATCATTCTGCTTTTAGGACATTGCTTGTTTGGAGACATTTTGTGCTTGGAACAATGCATAAATTTCCCATTTCAGGCTAGCTCTCTGATCAGTAGGGTTAGAAAAAAAAAAAGGAAAATAAGAGGTATTTATACATATATTGATTGTTATGCCCCTCTGCCTGCTACTCTGCTGCAGAAATAAAAAGACATTTTCCCCCTTTTTTCCTTACCTTTCATTGCAGTGTGTCTGTCTGCTGCTGGCATCCAGGGACCAGGATTATTATTCTTGTCATGTGGTCATTTTCTTCCCTCTGCAGACTGAGAGCCACAAACTTGTCAGATAGAAAGTGTGATATATTTGTGCCTTTGTTAGTTCAAAATCCACCCATGGCAGATGTTACATATACTCAACCAGGGAAAAACTCATCTCTTTGTAAAGAAATTAGGTATGTTCCCCAAACAGCCTTTCTAACAGCCCAGTTCCCATTTATTATTCTAGCTTAGGCTGTGGGAGTTGCTTGCAAACAACTGTAGAATGATTACTCACATTTCCTATCTACAGAGCTGAATGTTTTGTTCCTATTCAGGAACAGCAGGAAAAGCCTAAACCAAGGTAGCTGCTAAATGACTTGGAATTTTACTTGATCTGGAGGATCAATGATGTTTGGGAGACTTAAGGATTCCAGAATCAACAAATATGAAAAGTAAAGGCCAAGCCATGCTCATAATGACATCAGAGATATAATTTCTTATTGCTCCAGTGAAATTAATTGTACTGACAGCAACTATGAAAACTGCAGTAACTATTTTCCTGCTGGAAGTGGTAAATATGAGCATTTATATATTCAGCTTGAAAAAAAAGCATTAGTCCCTCTTTTAGTGCAGAATCACGGAACAGTTAAGGTTGGAAGGGACCTCTAGAGATCATCTAGTCCAACCCCCTGATCCAGCAGGGACATCCATGTCACGGGGCACACGGTGGCATCCAGGTGGGTTTGGAGGCCTCCAGAGAAGGAGACTCCACAACCTCCCTGGGCAGCCTGTTCCAGAGCTCTGGCACCCTCACAGGAAAGTTGTTCTTCCTCATATGGAGACAAAACTTTCTACGTTTAAATTTGTATGCATTATCCCTTGTTCTGTCACTGGCCACCGCTGAGAAGAGTTTATCTTCTTCCATTTTGGTCCAGGCATAAATATCAAGTTTCATGATCTTTCCTTTTACAAAAAGACTTTTTTTCCCCCCCCATATTATGGCTGCTTTCACTGCTTTTACATATGAAACTGTTTGTTGGTAAGTGTTGATGAGAAGGAAACTGCCTGTAAGAAGACAACATACCTTTTGGCTTCTCTCACATTTTAACTGTCAGAAGCACAAAACTTCCTTGGGCTACCAAAGCAGATCCCATGGCCAAACCAAAGAAGTCAACAAATTGTGAAGAGAGAGGATAATGTACACTCCTAGAAGCAACCTTTTGTCTTATCAATTAACTGCAGAATTGAATTAATCCTAACTGTTACAAGATCTAAGATAAAGTACACAGGGCGCGAAGGCATTTTCCTGTTTTCTGTTTGGTTCTGGGTTATCATGGGATCACTGTGTGAGGTGGGTTCCTGCCCTGTGAAAGTGGGTTTATTTCATCAGATTAATTCCTTCCTATCATAACCTAATAGAAAACATCTAGGTGCTACAAAGCCTTAAACTGCTGACAAAATAGAATACAGAAGGAACATCTAGGAGCTGGATTGGGATTATTTGTGATTGTTATATTGTAACGAAATATGGAAAATCTTAATATAAATAGTGTTGTCTAGGCAAAGAGAGAACTAACAAGGCTCATCACCACTGAAGAGAACTTAGCAGGGTTCAGGAAACCTGCTGCAGAGCCAGGTTACATCATTGCACCTTGCTAAAGAGAAGGACAAATCTCTGCAGGGCAGACTGAGCCCATGAGCAAGAGAATTAATTCTAGCAGGAGGAGGACTAGTTTCTCTGTCGTGGAAGTTAGAAGGGAACTGTTAGACTTGACCTGCCTGCAGAATGTGGGTAACAAGGTCAGTCCTGGAGAATGCATAAAAATGGAGCCAGGAGTCAAGTCCGCGCGGGCTGCCCAGGAAGACGACACGTGGGCTGCTTTGCACACCCAGAATGACTTCTTGAGGAAAGTCACTAATGAAAAAATATCTTCTTTTTCAAGCATAAGCCAACCTGAACTCTTCAATTACATATAGACTGTATTTTTGATGAAAAGACTGTTACATTTTTTTTCTATTATTTTGGCTAAACTTGCAATTTACACATTTGCAAATCTACAGTCTTTCGGTTCCTTCCGTGTACTATCTTCAGACACTTGCTCTGTTTTTTACGTTAGGTTGACTTGTTCAAAATGTATTTAGGAGAAAGATGGCAGTTATTTGTAACTTTTAAACAGAAGTAACCTGCAATTATCCCACGACACTTTCAAGCACTTATACCAGGACTCAATATGTTTTAACACTCTTCTATGTCGTATTGTTTCGTTTTTTTTTTTCATTTTGATTGTTGAAGGCTTTATGAACAGCTTACCTAGTAAAAAATAAATTGTACTGACAGAGAGACAAAGTCCATCCAAATAAACCAGACACATTATTCCTGTGGACTGGTGGAACTTTGTGTGTGCCCTTTATATCTAAAGATGTGCTTAGTGGTTTGTGAACTTTGTGTGGCAGATGGATGGCTGGACCACACGATGCGACACGCTGCTCTTTTGGTAACACCTCTGGGGGACAGGAGAAGCATCTGCCAGTGTGTGGTTCACTCCAGGATCGGGCTGATTTGCCTACATGAAGAAGTACCCTCATGTCCATGTGCAATGYGAATTAAGCTAATAGGTTCCATGTGGCTACACAATTCCATGAGGATTCATAAAATACACAGAAAAAATAACATAGTCCAAACGCACAAGCTGCTAAGTGAGAAAAAGTGGCAGTGGGAACGCACGCCAGTGGCTGGGATAGGCTTCCGTCGGCTTTCAGTCTTCAGGAGCAGCACAGCTCGTACAGGGCGCCTGCCTGTAGCACCAAACTGCTTTCCACAACAAAGTGGGAGAATTTTCAAAGCAGCAAAGTGCATATACGCAGTAAACCCCTGCAACAGTGCCCAAAACAGGCATTTATAAAATGTTTTTAACATTTGTAGAGACTGCTCCCTTTCCCACTTACCCACTCAACGTGCTCAAATTAAAAACAACAGGGTCGCTTTTCTCCAGCTGATCTCTGCTCGAGTGTTGTAACCCTGCACTGGCCATAGCGCAGCGCTCAGCCTGCTGATTATTTTATTTTATTTTATTTTATTTTTGCCAAGTTTTCAGGAAGCGGGAGGAGCTTTAACCAGGGAACACGTAGCGGCGGGTAAAGCCCGTGTCGCGAGGCAGGGCACGGCTGCCGTCATCGAGCGCCGCTGGCGGCTCCGCTAACGGCCATTTCCAACCGCCCTCCACGCCCCCCGCGGGACGGGACGTTTTGGGGGGGATGAGAGGGGAGGGGAGCGGCCGCCATGTTCAACGGCCACGCCGTCGCCTAGCAACCGCGCGCGC